ATATCATTGAGGTAAGAAGCTTCAGAAAAAGGCCCCGCCTTCATTCACAGTGAAACAGCGTTACCGTAAGGAGAGACGCCGTTTGCGTCCTTAAAAATTGCCAAATTTCCTTCGATGAAATACAAATTGTCAAGGAAGTCTCTAGATGCTACTCTTAGAATTTTTCAGGGAATTTTATGCACGATTCAGATCCGAAAGCGCCGTGACTCGATTTTAAATTTTATATTTTCTTCCACACAAATAGCGCTATTACAAGAAGATCCAATGACCACACGGCTTCATTTTTTCATTACGTGCTTCTGATGGTACGCCGGAATTGAGTATAAAAATAAAGGATGAAGATTTGTTGGTTTTCTTGTAAAACGTTACTTTCCAATAAAAATTGAAAACGTTTTAAACAGAGATACGGCGTTATTACTTTCGACGTGCAAAACCTAGAGGTCTGCCTCCTCAAATGTAAACAATGACCAGTGCCGTTGTTTCCAAGTTTCCAGCGACTAACAAACCATGGCAATTTGGAAAGAGACGGAGGCACTGTGTTCGGTGTTAACCGCTTGTGAAGAAACCAATGAAAATTAATTAGATCTCATGTTTTTTTTGTCCCCCCCCCCATTTTAAATGACAGTAATCCATTAAAAGCTTGCACAACTTAATGGTATTAACATGCTGAAAAACACTGACTTAGAGTTCAACGAATAGCGCCAAACAGTGCGGTCGGTGCGAAACGCACATAAGCGCCTACTAGACGGTAGGAATACTTCAAGCACTTGTCGTTCTCTATGGTGCGCGCTTTAGTTGTTGAAAATGAGTAATTTCTTCGTGCCGGACCTAGTAAGGTTTATGAACACCACTTCCGAGGTGTGTACATTGAGAGCCTGGAATCCTAGGATCGAGGGATATCAGAGATTTTGCAGACTTGAGTGGTACCTTTGCATATTGCATCACTGTATTGACGTCAGAGTTCGTCCGTCTGCTTCTAAGCTGAATCCAGAATCTGAGATCCAAAATTAATTAATGGCATAGAGGGTTTAACTAAACAATAGCAAATCGACGCAGTTTAAGTCGGAAAAACTGATGTTGCGTCAATCCGCGCGGATTTACCAGAAGAAACCATATTTTGTCGACATAACACTGACAAAATATTCAAACACCACTTTAAAAGAAAATGGTATAATTAAGATGGTTGGTGATGTTCAGCAATTATTGGTTGAAGGATACGTCTTGCGGGGGATGAATATTCGTTCCAAAAATTTGCACCGGGTACTGACTCGGCCCTCTTAACTGAGAACCAGTAAAAAATTAAGTCGCTGTAAGCGTGGGTGGACGCATGTCATGTATAACAACAACAAACAATTTTCCCCAAAATTTTATTAGAAGTATGTAATTGCGAAATATTTGAACAGAAGATGTAAAAAATATAGGAGTGACAGCGAAGTCTTGCAGCCGGACGCATTACAACAAACATTTTCCCCCTTACTTTTTCTAAACTATACAAATATTACAAGTGCGTGGCTGAGAAATGTTTATACAGAAGCTGTGAAAAGTTCAGACATAACAGTAACGTGAAGGCTTCTGACCGTGAATTCAGTGCGAAATTGTAATCAGAAATAGGGCTCCCGCAAAGACTGACAGTTTTATACAGAAAATTATATCGAAATAGGTTAACGATATCGCCATCGGGTATGGTGGCGTGGCGTGCTTAGCGATACATCGATTGGTCTGCCATTTAAACCCAAGGAAAAATGGACTGCATTTTGCAATTTGGAACTATAAATTCTGGCTCTTCGGGAAAAACGCTTACGGACATAGGAAAACTAATGGCACATACGTCGTTTTTTAACCGGGCTAGAATTTATAGTTCCAAATTGCAAAATGTGGTCCAAATATCGATGAAGAGGATGATCGCAACGAAAACTTCATTAATCGATTCTTTACCATAGCTTCAAATGGGGAAAAATCGAAACTCGATCGTTCGCTCCTCGCCGCTTATTGGGCTATCAGGATACGGGACCATAGAGGCTCCCGCTCCTTCTCGACTAGGATGAATGAGTGTAAAATCTAAATTGCTGTATTGCCGGAGACCAGTGGCGTGGCGTGAATTGCGATAAATCGATTGTTATGCCATTTAAACCTATGGTAAAGAATCGATTATTGGTGTTCGCTCTGAACACCCTGTTAATCGATTCTTTTCCATAGGTTTAAATGGCATAACGATCGATACATCGCAATTCCCGCCACGCCGCTGCCGGAGACATGTCATGAATTGTAACGAACTTTTTTATCCACAACTTTATTAGAGGTACATAATTAACACACGTTCGTACAGAAAGATGTGAAAATACAGGAACGACAGGAAAGCAAGGGGTTTTCACCAGAGTTTTGGCAAATAATGGGTACATTTATATTATTCTTCTCGCATTAGAGACAAAAGATCTGTTACAAAGCTACTTCTTAAACGACCCAGAAAATTGCGTGATTTATTCAAAAGACGGAGTCTAAAAATTTGCAGGGAAAAGAACCGAACAATTTTGACAAAACTTACCCTGACTTCATACATGAGATTTAGGCCCTTTCGTGAATTGGATCGCATTTAGCAAAAAAGAACCAGCGCGATTACGGTGTTTTCAAAACCGTGCAACTTTTATTTTTGTTTTAGAACCACTCAATACATGTTCAGTATTAAAATTTACAGAATAAATCTCCTTCAATATTAATAATCTTTTGGCGAGAAGCCAACACTATTTGGTTTTCTGGGAGATTTCTTAGATAAATACGAAGCAGCAACATTCTTACGACACTGTAATCGCGCTGATTCCTTTTCGCTAAATGCGAGCCAATTTACCTCCTTTAGCTGGGCAGTAAATAGGATTGGACGCTTCTGGCTATTTCTAACAGAGTACTCTCAAAATGAGTCAGTTGCGCTGGTCAAAGAATCGTGTTTTCGCGCTTGATTTTTCTAGATTAGCTGAAAATAATAATATCGGCCCGAACAGCAACTTTCTACGTTTAACACGAACCGAGATATCGCCCATTGAAACGTCGGGTTTCTGGCGCCATCCACCCCGATAGTGACGCTCTTGGTTTCTTCCACCTTGCTTTGCAGATTTGGACGTATTTCTACCAAACAGACCTATGTGGAGGTGAGAAATATGGGGTGTGCTCTTGGAAGCTGCATAAGAAGCAATGTAAAAGAGGGCGTGATTCCTTTTGAAGAATTGGAAAACCGGGATTTTACATTCTATCAAACAGACCTATGTGCCAACTGAATGCGGAACTCATGAGCCGCGGGCATGGCAAGAGAGCGTTGTGGACAGGGCTCATGAGTTACAGCGGCCCGACGACGATCTCCCCCTCTCGCGGGAGCTCGATCATTGCCGCTGACGTCACTGGCGCTTTATTATTCTCATTCACTCTTACGGCCAAAGAACTAACGAGCACACCCCATATTTCTCACCTCCACATAGGTCTGTTTGGTAGAAATACATCAATTTGTGTCTCTTTGACTGATGAAAGCAGGACGGGGGAAACCAAGGGTGTCACTACCGCGGTGGATGACGTCCAAGCCCCGAATTTTCAAAAGACGATATCTCGGTTCATATTGAACGTAGAAAGTTGCTGTTTTGACAAATCGTAATACTTTTAGCTAATCTGCAAGAATGAAGCATCAAAACACAATGCTGTGACCAGTGAAACAAACTATAACCCATTGAGTTATTTAAATCAAAAGGAATTTTATATCAATTCTCAAATAAGCCCTGAGATCCACAAGAATACATGCATGATAGGGCTCATTTCATGAACGATGCATTCACTGGTGAGGCGTGAATGATCGATTATCGATATTTTCCCATTTGAAGCTGTGGTAAAGAATCGGTTATTAAGATTTTCGTTGCGAACACCCTGTTTATCGATCCTTTAACATAGCTTTAGTATCAATCGATACATCGCTAGGCACGCCACGCCACTGGATGTATTTTCTTTTGATTTAGACGCACCGGTAAATGTCAAGAAAAACAAAAATTGTTGTGTGCATATGCCTTTGGGTCCTGTGTTCCTGTAACATTACCTAGCCTTATAATAATTTCGAACCGAGAAAATACTGATATTTAGCAATAGTCACCGCTACTTTTTCCTTAAAGTACAATCCCTTATGCCAGTGGGAAAAAATTTCACAAAAGGCGTTACAGAGAATCGCTCTTTTAGTGAAACTACATAGCCCTTCGAATGTTAGAATTCAATGTTAAAGTGCCTTACGCCTCCCTCAGCTACAATCGAAACTAAATGAGGTTCACATTAGCAACAGAGATGATGTAGAGCGACTAAAAATGACAGCACATCATTGTGATAAATAATCACAACGAACCGAACAATAATTATAATGTTTTGAGTAATAATAATAAAAGATTTTTTTAAAAACATGTAACACTCATATTTTTCTCTTTATTAATAACTACAGTCCAGTTAAATGAGCCACCGTCATGCAATTATGTTGAACTATATTTCAGGATCTATGAGGCATTTTCCGCACTCTGCATTCCGAAACTATCTTGAATGGACTAAATTTCGCTTTTCAGAACTACAATTTTTTGCTCCTCGGTAGAAACACTTGTGTGCGAAGGACAAAATTCGAGAAAACATATTCATACATTTTCTTGAAAATTCATTTGTCATCACAGGCGATTTGGCAACTTCTAGAGGCTCATACGCCATTCTTTCTTAGGACATTTGGACTACATTTTGCTATTAAGAACTAAAATTTCTGGCTCAGTTTAGAAACAAATGGACCGCGTCAAACAGAAAGGAACCAAGCCACATCACCTATTGCCTTTAATTGGGCAATTTAATTTTTTACATGAAAACGGTTGTGCGGATTTCCGTGCAAATTTCAGTGAAAATTCTCCATAGTGCGAAGCAAAGTCCTTAAAATTTTCAAAGAAATCCGAACAACCGTTCTCTCGTAAAAAATTTAATTGCCCAGTTAAACTCGGCAATAGCTGGTGTGGCTTGGTTCCTTTCTGTTAAACTCGGTCCAATTTATGTGTCATTGGTTTCCCTATGCACGTCAGTGTTAACACGGATGAGCCAAACGTTGTAATTTCTGATTGCAACATGCATTAAAAATATAAGACATTGCCTTACCAATTACGATAGGGAAATCTCATGCTCATTACCAAACTATTTTAACAAAAATAATACGAATTTCGGATTTTCTTCAATATTCCGGAGTTTCAGAGCGAAGATTAATTATAAAGTTGATCAAAAAACGGGAGATTTAACAGCGCTCATATGGAAATATTCGAACATTTAAATGGAAATATCTGCAATAGGTATATTCACTTACAAATTATGATGAAGAGAAAATAACGTCGGAAATTGCTCCATTATCATTATCCATGTACCTTATAGAATTGTTGAATCCCCGAAGGTAACAGCTTCCACCTGTCGCCAAGAGGTCAGAGGAGGGTCTCTTGTCTCTGATCGCAGTATGCTCCGTTAAATGCCTTTGTAGCCGAAAAAGAGATGAGCGGTGACTAAAACTCTAGGGTTTTTCGCCAGAATGCATTCGCAAATGTCTCTTGAAAGTTATTTTTTTAGAGAAGTAAGCCGAACAATGACTGCAACTGAATGGTTTCTCGCCAGTGTGCGTTCGCATGTGTACCATGCAATTATCGTTCCTGCTGAAAGAGGAGGAACAATGACTGCAACTGAATGGTTTCTCACCAGTGTGCGTTCGCATGTGCATCTTTAAATACTCTTTTCTGCTGAAAGAAGAGGAGCAATGATTGCAACTGAATGGTTTCTCACCAGTATGCGTGCGAACATGTTCCGTTAAAGTTTGTTTTTGAGCAAAGCATGCCGTGCAGTGACTGCAACTGAATGGTTTCTCACCAGTATGCGTCCGGATGTGCTTTGATAAATTACTTGTATTAGAAAAGCATGCTGTGCAATGACTGCAACTGAATGGTTTCTCACCAGTGTGCGTTCGCATGTGCATCTTTAAATAATCTTTTCTGCTGAAAGAAGAGGAGCAATGATTGCAACTGAATGGTTTCTCACCAGTATGTGTGCGAACATGTGCCGTTAAAGTATGTTTTTGAGCAAAGCATGCCGTGCAATGACTGCAACTGAATGGTTTCTCACCAGTATGCGTTCGCATGTGCCTCTTTAAATGAATTTTCGAACGGAAAGAGGAGGAGCAATGATTGCAACTGAATGGTTTCTCACCAGTATGCGTGCGAACATGTTCCGTTAAAGTTTGTTTTTGAGCAAAGCATGCCGTGCAGTGATTGCAACTGAATGGTTTCTCACCAGTATGCGTTCGCATGTGCATCTTTAAATGAATTTTCATAAGGAAAGAGGAGGAGCAATAACTGCAACTGAATGGTTTCTCACCAGTGTGCGTTCGCATGTGCATCTTTAAATAGTCTTTTCTGCTGAAAGAAGAGGAGCAATGATTGCAACTGAATGGTTTCTCACCAGTATGTGTGCGAACATGTGCCGTTAAAGTATGTTTTTGAGCAAAGCATGCCGTGCAATGACTGCAACTGAATGGTTTCTCACCAGTATGTGTGCGAACATGTGCCGTTAATGACTTTTTGTGAGAAAAGCATGCCGTGCAATGACTGCAACTGAATGGTTCCTCACCAGTGTGCGTGCGAACATGTTCCGTTAAAGTATGTTTTTGAGCAAAGCATGCCGTGCAATGACTGCAACTGAATGGTTTCTCACCAGTATGTGTGCGAACATGTGCCGTTAAAGACTTTTTGTGAGAAAAGCATGCCGTGCAATGACTGCAACTGAATGGCTTCTCACCAGTGTGCGTTCGCATGTGCATCTTTAAATCGTCTTTACTACTGAAAGAGGAGGAGCAATGATTGCAACTAAGTAGCTTCTCATTACCAGTTTGCGTTCGCATGTGTTTCTTTAAATTATCTTCAATACTGGATGAGGAGGAGCAATGACTGTAATTGAATGGTATCTCGCCATCGTGCGTTTGCATGTGTGTTGTTAAAGCGCTTTCAGAAGAAAAAAGGCTCGAACACTCGCCGCAAGTGAATGGGTTCTCACTAGCGTGCGTTCGAATATGTTCGACGAACTCGGATTCCGACGCGTTTGTTTGGGTAGGGGGTTCACTCTTGATTTCGATATTCGTATCTGACAGGTCAATCCAACTTTCATGAGAATGGTCGGGAAGTGGAGAGCTCATGTCCTCTCTTTTCACTCGCGTTGTCATCGGGACAAAATCACGACCATCATTCTCCAAATCGTGTTCTTCTCCTCCTCGTCCCAACCTGAGTTCTGACTCATCCGTCTGGGGAGTGGGTTCACTCTTAATTTCAATGCTTGTGTGCAGCTGGTTAGTCCAACTTTCATATTCTTTTTCATCCTCGCATTCAATTTTGGGGGGAAGAGCGGAGGGCGAATCCAAGATGGACGAGGGCGAGGTGTCTTGGGTCTCTTCTACTGATGCAAGTCGGCTATTGTTGGAATCTTGAGGGTGACTTCCTCCGGACGGGTAAGATGGGTTGCCAGGCATAACGCTCGACTCCGGGCTGGTGCACGCTTCAGGTGGGGCCTGCATTGAAGGGCTCGTGCAATCAATCCTCGAGACGTCTCCCAGGGGGTCCTTCGCACTTTTATCGTTCGGTGGAATCACTGGATTGTAGTCCTCAGGTGTGCTGAGTGCAGAGTGCTCTTCCACTTGGATTTTTAGCTTCGGCATTCTCCATTGAAAATCCTGAACAGAATAAATTTCAAGACTTGTAAGCAATGCTTTGGACGACCGGTTACGATTGGAGGCAAACCATAGAGGGATTGAAAGACGGAGAGATACCACTTGCGATACGTCGATTGATCTGCCACTTATGGAAAAGGATCCGTGTACAGGGTGCTCGCAACAAACACCTTCATAGTAGATTTTTCACCGTAGCTTCGGATAGGAAAATACTGATAATCGATCATTCACGCCACGCCATTGGATACGGGTACTCGCGGGTTCGAAGTTTGCAATGTATCGGATAACGATATTCGTTAGCAACATTAATGATGTTCATTCTTTCTTTCTGGATAAATTGAGGCTTAGATTGCCACGAGCAAAAAGGAGCATAAAATATGCGACGTAGATTGAGATAAAGCAGTTAACCGGTTGACACGCCTTAGTTGGTGGCGCAATTCACTCGAGTTCGGTTCCAACTCAAGAATACAAATACTTCGACTTTGGCGTGTTGCACAGTATCGCACGCAATTGAAGGCGTTTTATGTTGGTCCGACCGCTACCTGCGGAGAGTGGAGTCTTGATGTGTTGACTTTGAGTGCTGTTTAGCTGCGCATACGTTGAATGCAAAATCATGGCCAATTCTCACATATTAGTGTTATGAGTAGCTGATGACTTCCCGGATTGAAATCGAGTATTCAGCTTTATTTTGGACGAATGATAAAAGTCTCAATTTTTTATACCCAGAAGTTCCTTTACCGTGCTAAATATAGTTCGCGTCAAAAAGAGCTCTCTGATACAGAGTTTCGTAAAAATCGATCGCTCAACGGAGCTCAGCGCCAGTACCTGCTGTGCGAACCCGTCCTGCCGCACAGTGGATCGAGTCAATAGGAGAGGTCGGGCAAAATTTGGATACTTTATACGCTTATAATTCCGTTTACACAAAACTTAAAAGTTCTAAAAGTGGTTCTATTGGTTTTCTCGTGAAATATTCTACAAGAGACACCTCTTAAAGTTTGAAATGTGGCAAAATGAACATAAAAATTTGCAGTTTTAGTCAAAAATTTCAGGTCCGACCTCTCGAATTGACTCGATCCACTGTGCGCCGTGACAACTCTCAAATTTTCGAAATCGAGTTTCTTTCAAAATTTGTCTAATTTAATTAGGACGAAAAGACCGATGCTGCTAAGACAGCACAGTCCGTTCTTTCCGTGTAAAAACGAGACGTAAGACAAAACCCTAAGCAAAAATTGACATTCTTTCGGTTGAAAAGGCCGTAAAGGGCATAATTCCGCCAGAGAGCCAATGGCAGCAGTACTTTTAAGTACAATGACGCCTTTTCCTGCCAGTTTCTGACCTTAATAGATAGTTTTTGCGAGTCCAAAACGCATTTTAGTTTGTGTTAATTCCTTCTTTCTGGATCAGCTGAGGCTTAAATTGATAGCTTTGCCTATCAATTTCAATAATCAGCCTGCACGGGGGAAAAAAAACACATTGGATCTAGAGGCCAGACTCTTCAAAACATTGACAAGAAAAAGGACTCTTGATCCAATCAGATTTAGGCTTAAATCAAAAGGAAATCCGCTCAAATTAAGAGGCTTGGTTCTTGATTTCAGCTTAAATCTTCTTGAATCAAGAGTATTTTTTCTTGTCGATGTTTTATAGAGTCTGGACTCTTTATGAGATTTAATGTATTTTTTTCCCAGTGTGGTGACTTTCCCGGTCGCTAGATACCGGATACCCTGAGGACGTTGTTGTAGTACCTACATCGAATTAGCGAAACGAAAACAAACTACGAGAACCATAAACCTCACCGGTGCAATCACCTCCAGCAGTGATTCATGCAAATTGGCAACATTCTCTTCTCTTTAAAATGATGACTGGTCATATTAATCCGGATCAATCGGTTCTTAGAAAGGCAGTGGACTCATCATTGAAATTGATAGACAAAGAGGACAACCTATTCCGAAGTTATGTTAACCGAGACACAGTTTCAATGCAGAGCATTTCAAAATTCACTCGGAGCCCGTATTATTTTTGACAGCAGTGTAAAATCTACGTTTCGTGGCGAATCTGAGCGTATCTCAGTTTCGGCAGCCCACACTGAAAAAAAATTCTCGGCGTTTTTACCAAGGTCCGTTGGTACCTTTACCATCTCGCTTTTTTTACCATTATTGGTAATTTTACCATGACAGACTAGTAAACTTACCTAAAAACCGGAATTTTTACTGTTTTTTTCAGGTAAGAATACTACTTTTATTGGTAATCAATTCCCGGTAACTTTGCCATTTTATCTCGGTAATTATACCATAGTCGATAAAAAATATTGGCGTTCTTACCAAGGTCCAGTAAAATTACCGAGAAAGTTCAATAATTTTACCGAGATTTCTCGGTAAAATTACCAATTCCATAAATGGTAATTTTACCAAGAAAAAACTGGGATCAAATAGAACCCTGAATTCTTGGTAATTTTACCCTTTTCTTAGTGAATACACCATGGTTTTTTTTCCAGTGCAAGGAACGTACACAATGTTGGTTATTTTTAATATCACTTTATACCTCGAGCATTAAAATTAAATTTTAAAAAAAGGGGAAAAAACAACTTAATCAAGATACCTACTAAGGTATCTGTCATACTTTCTCGGTAGGGTTGTAAGCATGTTGAAGATAAATACCACAAAACTTCTCGAATATTATGACGAGCCAAAGCCTCATAGAGAAACTTCATTTACACGTTCACGTTGAATTCACCGATCACATTTAAGAGTTACATTCTTTTTCAGTGCATTCCCAACTTTGATAAAATGAATCTGACATTGACCATGACCATTATGAACGGACATGATTAAATGTTCATCATCCACCGATCTCAAAAATTGAAACGTATGCCCAGGTGGGTTGTGGTATCGCTTTCGCCACACTCTAAGCAATTTTATTGTCACAGTATAATAAGACGCGCCTTCAAATTCAGATAGCGGCAATGTGGGCATCATCTGTGGTCGAATAGTTATCTCAGAAACGCCTTCCGTAAATGAAGTCAAAAATGAATGGCTACACGAAAAAATTGCTTATAAATCTAAGACTGCCACGTTGGACACTTTCACTCATTTGGGATTATAAATATGCACATCTTTTAAAAACAGGAGCAATGATTTTTCTTAAGATTTGCTGCGAATTTCCCTAAAGCATACTTACAAAGTTAGAAACTTTTAAGGTGACATTCCTGTTGTTTCTTAATTTATTTTATTTTATTTTTTTTTTTCACCTGAAATGAAACTTAACTTTTTCCAAAAACTCACATATTCTCACCCCAAAAACTCACCAAAAACTCACAACTCGGGTGTACTAGTTTGTTGAACCATGATGATCCAGAATTCCTCGATATTACCATCTTGAAAATGGAAATTGGCAACGCTGTACAGCCTAAACGAGGTTTCACTTCAAGTTGAAACTTTGCGTGGAAGTTTGCCTTACCATCAGCTTTCGTTTGAGCCTTGTCCTATTGACCAACTCGGGTGTACTAGCCTGTTGAACCATGGTGATCCAGAATTCCTCAATTTTTTCACATAAAAATGGAAAATTGGCAACGCTGTACAGTCTAAATGAGGTTTCACTTCAAGTTGAAACTTTTCCCGGAAGTTTACCTTACCAAAAGCTTTCATTTGAGCCTTGTCTCGTTTTCCCACTCGCGTGTACAAGTCTGTTGAACTATGGTGATCCGGAATTCCTCCATTTTTGCACATAAAAATGGGAAATTGGCAACGCTCTACAGCCTAAACGAGGTTTCACTTCAAGTTGAAACTTTTCCTGGAAATTTTCCTTACCATAAGTTTTCGTTTGAGCCTGTTGACCAACTCGGGTGTACTAGCGTGTTGAACCATGATGATCCAGTATTCCTTGAGTATAGCGCATAAAAATAGATAATTGGCAACGCTGTACAGCCTAAACGAGGGGTCACTTCAAGTTGATACTTTACATGGAAGTTTGCCTTACCACGCTTTCATTTGAGCCTTGTCCCGTTGACCAACTCGGGTATACAAAGAAAGGGGCTAAACTTGGCGAGGCTCTTTCCGCCGACTGAAGAAAATCCGCGGAAATTGTTTAGAAAAACTGTATTTGCGTTTCGTAACAAGAATGATTAAATATAAGACATTATTTGAGGTCTGCAACGTTGCAGTCGGAGCTAAATACGCTTCCTTACGCGTGTAGGAAAGGATATTTGAACTCATTCACGGCAGGCGCAGCGATACAACTATTCGACCACGGGTGTAAGCATGTTGCTGCCAGCCGGATTCAAGGCGCGCCACACTCCAGCAATTACTCGGGTCCCGTCCCGTGCGATCTCCCTGGCTGGCGCGCCGCTAAAATCGCCGCAAAGGCAGGACCGCACGCCATTATCCTTGACTCTCTGTCCCGTTTTTACCACAATTTGAGTGAAAGTGTATCCCTGAATTGTAACGATTCAGAATCTCGGATTGGGTTTACTAAATTCATTTTTTTAAAATGAGGTATGAAACGAGCGAAAATATTGCGTCAAAATTTCCGGAGACTGAAGAAAATCCGCGGAAATTGTTTAGAGAAACTGTATTTGCCTCTCGTAACAAGAATGATTAAAAATAAGACATTATTTGAGGTCTGCAACGTTGCAGTCGGAGCTAAATACGCTTCCTTACGCGTGTAGGAAAGGATATTTGAACTCATTCACGGCAGGCGCAGTGATACAACTATTCAACCACGGGTGTAAGCATGTTGCTGCCAGCCGGATTGAAGGCGCGCCACCCTCCAGCAATTACTCGGATCCCGTCCCGTGCGATCTTCCTGGCTGGCGCGCCGCTAAAATCACCGCAAAGGGAGGACTGCACGCCATTATCCTTGACCTGGAAAATGCTTAAAAGTGGCGCCACCTCACCCACTTACATTACGACTCTATGTACTCTATGTGTGTTACCACCTATCAGGAAAGTCATAGGAAACCAAATTTAGACGCAAAATGGGCTAGTTATCACCAAAATCCGGTTT